CCCAGCCCCTCGTTGTCCACCACGTTCTCGGCCCACTGCACGTGGTTCTCCGACGACGACGACGAGTGTGCGCCGCGGAGTCGGAGGATCGCCGTGGGGGCGGGCGCTGGTGATTGCGCGGCGGACTCTGTGGTGGTCTGGGTCCGGGACGACGACTCGCCCGCTTGTGTTCGCTGCTGTTGCCGTGGAGGCATGGTATCCAGCTGGTGTGTTTGTGTGTGCGTGTCGCGTGAGTGTGCTCCTAGGGGCGGCTGTCGGAGATCCTAGCTCCCGTAGACAAGGGTCTTGCTCGGGTCGTCGAGGCTTGTGAAGATGGGCCTTGATGGACGGTCGGACTGCTCGCTGTGCGTTCGTCTTCGGAGATCTGGGCGCGCTGTGCTCTGCACGCTGGTGTAGGACGTAGGTGAATCACAAGGTGCTGTTGAACTAGATGGGAGAAGGTCGGATGATGTCGCTGAATATGCTGATCGTGCTGATCGGCAGTTTGTTGTGGTGGGATGCCCCTCGCTGGCATGCTGAAATGCTGAGAAGCCCATGGCTGATGCCAGGGGTCTTTGTTTGTCAGGTGGGGCTCGGCAGTGGTTGCACCGACGTCACTCGGTTCCCTTTGTGCAGCGAACTGTCAGGCCGTGTTATTTCAAGCACAAAGGTCAGCCTAGCAAAGAACCTATCGGTCTGCGGATTTAAAAGAGTTCGTGGGTATCTGTCGCATCCTAAAAGTCTATATCTATGTATACAGAGGTTGTACAGTATTCTTGTGTTAGATAGTACAAAAGTTCGTGGCTCGTTGGGGACACCCCTCCGTTCTATGTTCGTATCACCATCTGGACAGCATCTAGGAGAATGCTGCCTCTCTCTGTCTCCTGCGCTGCTTGTCCAGCTTCTTGGCCCCCTTCATGCTTTTCCGTGGCCGCGCTTTCTCAGAAGCCGGGTTGCGCTTTGGCTTGTTTAGTTCCCAGCCGTTCATCGGCCTTCGGACGGCAACGTACTTGCCTTCGGGGCTGAACACTTCCACAACTGGCCAGACTGGCTCTGAGGTAGCTTGTGGCAGTGGACGCGACTGCTTCTTGGGCTTCGGGGCTGGCTTGTTCAGATTCTCGAGACGTTCCAGGGCCGACAGCTGCGGCTGGGGCTCCGGTTCTAGCTCCAGCTCCGCCTCTGGTTCCGGTTGGCTCTCGCTTTGCAACTCGTCCTTGGGAGGAATGGCTTGTTGGTAGAGATCCCTTGTCCGCACCTGTGCGGTGACCTCAACCCACCCCACACCATCGATGAGAATATCTGCGCCAACCACACGGTATGGTAGCCGGTCAACTGAAAGCCCGACCGCATGCTTTCGAGTCAGGGGCCCGGTCTTCTCTTTCGTCACGTCCCAGCGCAACTCCACTGTCTTGGCCAGCTTCACTTTGTCACCAGTCCCTTCGACAGCAATGTTGTCGACCTTGACCTCGCTGGTCTGAGCCTGGAGTCCGATGGCCTTCTCAGTTGCCGTGAGATGAGGCTGGATGGGAGTGAAGCTGTAGGCCAGCATAATTGGTGCAGGCTCCTGAGGTGTGATGCGAATCAGCCCACCGCCCAAGATCAGCGACTGGCCAGGCTTCAGAACGATTTGTTCCGGCACAACTCGAGAGCGCATGACCAAGGATGATCGGAACTCTTCTCGTACGTGCTGGCCAAGAGTGCTGCGCTCCAGACCGGGAAGGTCGATGACCTCGCCGCGCCCATTTCCGTACGGCACGCGGATTGGCGATGCTGTCGTGCCAGGGAGGTCAGATACTAGTGGCATTTCAGGAAACTGCACCTCTTCTGGTGCAGGCGTGAGCATGGAGTCTGTATCGACGTCCTGGCTCTCCAGCTCCTCCAGCTGCTGCTTCAGCTGCTCAATGGCTGGGTCTTCACGCTCGCCTGCCTTTTTGGAAGGCTTGATGAGCGTCTCTTTCTTGCCAGTAGGATACAGATCGACAGCGATCTGGTGCTTGGTGGGTTCCCACTCCATCCTGCCCTTCGGAAACACTGATTCAAACAACTGACTCTTGCCGACATTAGCCTTGCCCACGAGCCAAGCGGCACCTCCGCGTTTCCATATGTCGTCCTTGATCTCTTTCGTCCACCAGCCGCGGACGGCAGAAACCAAGGAGATGTTTCCGAGGCGAATATCCCGACCGCCACGGCCAAGCGCATCGCGAAGGATCTCTCGTAAGTAGGGCAGCAAACGGTCTGCCTGTTGCTTGGTTGGCGCGAGCAGATCGGCCCGGGTGATCACGAAGCTCATTTCCATCTTTTGGCCGTGCTGGTACCGGCCGGGGTTTGACCGGCGATTCCTTGTCCGCAGAGGCATGAGCTCGAGCAGGTCGTGGATCTTGGGCATAAGTGACATTGGGAAGTCCGCCGCATCAAGGACATGGTAGATGTGATTGTACTTGTAAGGCGAGTCGAGCAGAGTGTCGTGTATAGACTCGATAGTAGGGTGCATTATGGGCGTCCCAGCCCGATTATGAAGCAGAGAATGGCATCTGTCGCATAGTGGCGGTTTGGCGGGTTTGCTTGTCCTTGGGGGATCAGACTGCATGATTGCTGAGCTAAGCTCGCTGAAGTCGACACCCTGCCGCTCGAGCTCGGACTGGTCGGCCTTGTTGATCACATCTTGAATGATAGTATCCTCGGCAGAGCTCGTTGGCTCTTGAACCGGTGCAACCTCGACCCCGATATGCTTGCGCACGGCTTTGCGATCTAGACTGTAATATCCTGGCTGGTTCGGGAGGACCGTCTGGGAGAGGGCGCCGCAGCCTGTGCATTGCTTAGGTAGTGCGTTGATGTAGGTATAGTCCGTGCTCGCGGCCTCAACCGGAGGCGTCACAGTTGTCGCCTGGTCGGCCGGAATGTGCATGCGCCGCTTTGGTGGCTGGCGTTGAGTGGCCGCTGAGAGAGCAGCACTGCCAACGGTCGAGAGAAGTCGTGATGGTGTGGAAGGCTTCGAGGCTGTGGTTCGCAAGTGACCTGACAGAGGACAAAGGAAGGCCGGCAGGTCAAGCCGGCGCGGCTGGTCTGTGATGTGGAGCGCGGATCTGAGCCATGTTCTAGTCGATGCGCGATGCATCATCATCGTCGGTTGGAGGCGGCGCCGGTGTCGACCCAAGCTTGGTTGAATGGTGAATAAACTAAACTTCTCTGAATGATGGAAAGAGTTCCGCTCCGGGCACATGTCACTGACAGGGGCCCAACTCTATCGATTAGAGGGCTTAAGTGCTATGGTGTCAGATCCACACAACCATCCTGTGGTGGACTTTGGTGGCCGAGACAAACACCACCCCACATCGTCATTGCTGCCGCCACCTTCCGCTCTTCTATCGAAGAATCGCCCGCGACGACGACGTTCGTGCCGCAACAAGGAGCACCAAACCCAGAAAGGTCGAAAATTATGACAGAAGGCGTGCAAGCCCCCGAGGACGCCGCGGCTGCCCGTGCTGCCGAGCAGGCTCGCATCCGCAAGGAGCGGCGCGAGGCCAAGATCAAGGCTGGCGGCTCCGCTCGCCTCAACAAGATCACCGGTTTGGGAGGAGGCATCCCTCGCGGTTAGTACTTTCTTCTTCTCCAAATAATCAATGTATGATCGCTAACTCGGATACCCTCCGCGTAGATGCTCCAGTCCAGCCCGCACCTTCAGCGCCGTTGGCCACACAAACGGCGGCACCTCAAGCAACACCAGCTTCCAACGCTCATGCCGATCCTGACGAGGTCGACATTTCGCAGCATTTCTACAAGCCCGAGACCACCGCTCGTATCCCCAGCGATCCCACCAACCTATCCGAGAACCAACTTCGCCAGATGATGCTCGGCATGGACCCTTCCATGGGGGCGAACACGCCACCACGGAATCCGTTCGGGCCCGGAGGAGCTCAGGTGCCGGGGATGGAAGGAATGCAGGAGGATCCCATCATGAAGATGATGAGCCAGATGATGTCCGGCGGCATGCCAGGCGCGGATGGCCAGAACCCCTTTGCCGGCACATCTCTGGACGGCCTGTTCGGCGCTGCCGCTGGTGCTGGTGGCATGCCGGCGAACCCTTTCGCGCAGGCCCAGCAGGCTGTCGTGCAAAAGACAGCCAACCTCTGGCGCATCCTACATGCCGTCTTCGCCATCGGCCTCGGCCTGTACGTGGCCATGTCGACCACCTTCACGGGCACCAGGGAGGAACGGGACAACGGCACGATCGAGAGCACCGGCGCGTTTGGCGCGCGGAGCGTCGACGAGACCAAGGCTTACTTCTTCTACCTCTTCACTTCCATCGAGGCCGTCCTGCTGACGTCGCGCTTTTTCTTGGAAAAGGACCGCGCGCCGCCGACGGGCTGGGTTTGGACGGTCAGTGGTTTCCTCCCATCTCATATCCAGGGCTACCTTAAGCAGGGACTGTCGTACGGTCGGATCCTGAGCACGATCCGCAGCGATGCACTCGTCTGTGTGTTTGTTATGGGCGTCTGTGCCTGGCTACGATCGTGAGTAGGGATGGAGGAGTGGCACATGCTCTCAAGCCTCCGGCGTAAAGCAGAAGTTGTCGCAGGGATAATACAAATTATTGTGTAGCCACCAACTCGTTCACAGGACATACCAGGTCTTGAGCTGTTTCAGATTGTTCATTAAGTTCTTGGAAGTGCTTTCTACGTCGAGTTAAGGTAGACTACCTTGGATGCCAGACATATATCTGCACATTATTTGAATCTTGAAGTAAGGCGACGGTACCGGAGCTCGATACAGCGACAAAAGATGGTGAAACTTGACACCAAAAACAAACTAAGAGCTTCTTGCCGGGCGGTATCAACACTACAACGCCTCCGCGAGAGGCATGGTAATCCTGCAAACGACTACACGTAACAGCAGCAACAACGATAATAGACCAAAACCAGCAACCCACATCTGCACCGCGCCTTACCTGTCATAGACAACATCACCAGGGGCCGGCTCAACAAGCAACAACGACCGGCTGCCCACCATTCTCTTGAACGTAACGCCGAGAGCCGGAGTCGAACCAGGCATCACCCATGGTACGATCTGTAACGTATGAGTATTCTAACCGTTGAACTATCTCGACTTTGTTGCTTTGCCTTGCTTGTTTGTTGGCAACGATTATTCCCACGGCGCGGCAGCAAGTGCGTGCAGGATTGCTAAGCATCCTAGTGTCCAGGAAACATGAGAAGTATAATCAACAGGAAGATGAACGCATAAGAGAGGGTTGGATATGGAGGGGTCACAGGACAGACTCGAATCAACGGCATATCTCAAGTCCTAACCAAGCCGGTGAAGCTGCTACGTACGAGATCACCACGAGGGTATCCGTACTCAAACCTCCGGCCCGACTCTGCCTGACCCCACGAACACCGGTACGATGCCGCCCACACCCACCCGCTTCGTATGGGGAACGAGGACAAGTCCCGAATGACAAAAAACAAACACAACCAGCAATCCAGTGTTATGAGATGCAGCAGCAGAGCAACAGGTAGGGAAACTTTGATCGCCGAGAGCCGGAGTCGAACCAGGCTTCTCCCATGGTACGAATTCTACAACGTTTGGGGATTCTAAACCGTTAAACTATCTCGACTTGTGTGTGTGTGTTTTCCCCTCTCCTTGCCAGCCTCATGCACGTCTGGTTCAGCTTGCTTCGAAGTGCTTCCGTCGACTTATATCCATGACTGTGGATCCCTGAAAAGCGGGGCCCGCTCTACACAACACGGCAATGATGACTACGGACTTGCTTGAAGCCTTTGGCACCGAGTGACCTTGAGTATGGGTACTTTTTCGAAGAAGGTGATGTATACCGCTTGGTCTATCATGTTTATATGTCGATGTGAAACTTGAAGAGGTGTACAAGAAGGAGAAATATGTAAGGTCTCGTACAGTCGGTTTTGTTTCGTACAGTGTGTCCTCGCGCTAGCCTTTTCAGACCTTCTGGTTTCACGGCTTCAGCGCTGTCGCGAGGACAGGTCCCAGCCAGCCGCGTACGCGTCCCTTGTTCTCGAGCACACAGGTGAAGACGACGGCCGTGCTGGCGGCAAAGACCAGAGTCTCGCGCCACTGCTTGTCCCACGCGTACCGGCGGGGCAGCAGCGTGGCCATGGCCCGCGGCGCGACGAAGAGCCCAAAATTGGACGCCCGACCCGGCTTCTCGAGCAGGATGCTCCAGCCGCACAGCGCGCAGCCCGTGCCGATGCAGATGCCGCCGTCGATCTTGTTCCTCGATGCGGGGTCCGTGCCGAGAACGTGCGGGCCGACGCGCGTGCGTGCGAGGCAGACACCGTAGTAGAACAGGGCTATGAAAGAGCCCAGGAAGGCGGACGAGCGTGTGGCTGACAGGATCGCTTTGCGAACCGATGCGAACCCGGGGCTTCGCGCGACTAGGATCAGATTTAGGGGCAAGTATGTCGCCATGGCCCACTTGAAGGATTTCAGAAACCTCGCGAGGGCATGGTATTCACAGGACGGCCCGCGGCCCATGTGTACCATCTCGCACGGAAACGGGATTGCTACTGCTGGATCTCCCCAGGCCAGGGGCCACTTGTACTCGTGACACATCTCCTGCAGCACGGAGGCCTGACCGGTGTCCTCGCCGTAGCGAAGCTCGCCAGTTCGGCACCGCTGGAGGACTTTGACGAGGCGCAGGTCGACTGCCGCGGCGGACTTGATCCAGCTGTAGTATGCCTTCCGCAGCCTATATGGGTGGTAGATCCACGCCCACATGATGAACGAGCATGATGTCGCAAACATTGCCGGATCTGCGAGCTTCGAAAGGAGTATTTCGATCTACAAGAGTTAGCAATAGATCGAGCCACAGATTGTATAAGAAGTCGACTTACCGCAGTCCACTCTTTACCTGCGGCAAGCCGCCGCTGTTTCCTCCGCGCCCAAAGCTCACCGACTATCACATCTAAAGCCCTTGTTACTGCGAACAGGGTGAGGTCCAGACTCCGTCCGGCATATCTGATGGTCTTCTCCTGCGGTCCCGGCGTGTATTCGGAGTTCTCAACGACCGTGGCCGAGAATGCCTCGCTAGGTTTCGACTGAAGGAGCGTTAGGCTGAGCCAAGACGCTATGAATGTAGCGAACCATCGTGACAACCTGAGTCACTGGTCAGCATCACTGTATCGGTATGAGAGGACTGGTCAAGCTCGTGCTTATGGGACCACCAGCCAGAAACTCACCTGGTGCGAGCTACTGAGGACAAGCTCTGCGCCCACTTGTTCAGCGCCTTTGATAATAAGACCTATCTCGCCATGTCAGCTCGTTGTCAACAAATGCAGAGTCGAGCCAGCGTTGGGAATACTCTGACATACCTCCAGAAGCGTCGAACCCCCTGCCAGTGCTGCGCAGAACGTTGGAAACCTGCGAATATCGAATCCTCCGCGTAGGAGCCGTAGCAAGGCAACAGGAAACGGCTCGCGAGGTTCGCAGCAAGCATCGCCGGAGCTCTTGGCCTTTCGTCTTTGCCGTAACCTCGTGATGTGCTGCAGCACAAGAGTCAGGATCCTGGGCGCAACGGCAGATCCGTAGCCTAGGAAGAAGGCACGCAGGACTGGCCGAAGAAGCACCGGGACGGGATCCTCGAGCTTCCGCAGCCGGCTCACGTGACGTCCGGGACTGGGGATCGCCATGCCCGAAGGGGCGGCCATGAACTCGGACTCCGTTTAAGATGCTTTCGTGGTTGCAACAAAGAGGTGAGAATCGCGTCTCAGCTTGTCGCGATGAGTTCCAGAAAGTATAGCCGAGGCGGCGGGTGGATGGTGATGAAGCCCGAGAGTTACCGTGATGCAATGTAACGTCGACGCTGCGAAGGCGTGCAAGGTTGTGATCTCCCGGATCTGGTGGCTGTCGACGTGAAAACTACGTGCAGATTACCAGCTCAGGGGGTGATGAAACTCTAATCCACGCGATAGTGACCGGCTTCGCGAACGCGTGCGGCGGGGGAGAGCAACAGCAGTACAACGCCGGAGGGTTGAACAAGATGTTGACGGTCCAACACTAGTGCACGCTCACAGAAGAAGGGAATGCCGTCGTTCCAAGGCTGTGTGGCAGCTACTGATTAGCCGATGTATCGCCCTTGCGCGGAACTGCTAGCACGCGCGGGGGAGAGCTCATTAGCGAGGCGTTTCGTCGCAAGGTCGGGCCGGGCAGGACTGTCTGCAAGGGGAGATCGTGTATGATGGCCAACACGCAAGAGCTACGTCAAGATTGTTCTAAGAAAGTTGGGGGCCATTGTGCCCGACTTTGATGGGGCCCCAGGGAGAATCAGATGCCAAAAGTTGACTGCTCGGCTCGAGCTGTACGGTAGCTGGCCCGAAGCGGTTACGCGCGACCGAGACGCGGGTCTGGGAACTCTGGGGAAGGAGCAACTCCGTAGCGTGATTACGTACTCCATCGTTGGTCATCGCTGGGCACGTCCTTGGTGAGAGGGCGACTTCAGCTGGGCTGATAATCGACAGAACAGTTCTGTTGTTACGTCAGAGCCGACGCGGCTTGGGTGGAGCGTCCAGTTTCATCTCAAAGACGGCTGCCACTCAAGTGGCGCGTAGCCATGCCGTTGATGTCCACGGAGTACTGTATTCCGAAGACATAGTACCTACTTGGTACACAATATCAGCAGAACAGGCGGGGCGGCTGGGGCCCATCCAGGCACGCCGCATGCATTGTTCCGGTGAGGGAGCTCTGCAGAGGAGCGGGTGCAGCTCACCCCTGCTGCGCAGCATGAAGACACCGGTAATTAGTTCTGCACGAAGAATGGCCGTCCGCATCTCCATGATCCCTAACCCTTCATGAAGCATAACGTCCAATCCAATCTTGTGCATGGTGGTTGCACGCCAAACTGCTGCGACTCAGAGTGCATGCATTACGTGGGGTCTTGCGGCTTTCTGCACGGCGGAAGTTGTCTTTGGTTGGCTTGGGGGATACGTGAGAGGATTGTGTCACGAGTGCCTCAACCCGCAGGATCCACGCCGTCGATCACACCTGTGGGCAGCAGAAGATGGGACGACGGGCTGAGGCAACCGGGCGCGGTGCAAGTGGCACCGCCCATCGAGGGTCTTGGCGGTGACAGCTGCATGGTTGACAGGCGGCATGAAGAATGGAGCTCGGCTGCAGCTATAATGCTGCTGCTGTCAACTTGTCGCTGCTTTGACAGCTCGCCTGTCATCTCACCAATGCGACATTAGCAGACCAAGGTCTGTGTTTCTATACCAAGGATGGACATTTAGCGAGTTGTTCTGGAAGAGCTCCGCGTGGCATGACCTCGTGCGGAAATAGCCTGACAGGCACGGAGATGTCGCATAGGGGTCACTCGAGGGGGGCTTCCAAGATGCTTCCCCGTCTCAGATCTGGCATCAGGGGGCACTTGAGCAGAACACCTCAAACAGAGAGCGGAGAGGGACCAGGGTGCTGGCTCCAAATCAGTAACTGAGTGTTGCATCCTGGTTAATACTCCGCCGATGGGAAGATGAAGCCAGTCGTGCGAACCATTCTCTTGTCCTTCTTTCATCTCAAGTCTGGATGGGCCGTTGGCGGCGAGCTAGTACTTAAGATGGAGAGCCTGAGATGTGAGATGCGCGCGTGCTCGAGCTCCGGGTCCGTCTTCCGGCCGGTTGTCTGTGCTCATTTTAGCATGTGATTGCTGTCGTTCTTGTTGGTGGTTTGAGAGAGAGACAGGAGCGCAGGTGGATCCCCCTGGCCAGCGCTGCAAGTCCCGCTCCGTGCGGCTCTCTGCCCGCTGAACAAGAGGCTCGCTTAGGTCACGGGTGACATCTCATCGCCTGCGGAACACGGCGTCGCATCAACGACGCAGGAGCGCTGCAATCTCACGGACATGAGGCGTTGCGGCCAAGCAACGAGACTGGGGAGAGTCGTGTCATGTTGGACGGCTGCTCCGCACAGGGGCCAGGCGCTGCAGGCTGTCAGGGAAGAAAGAGAGGTGTGGGTTAACCTTACCCAGGCCGTCATCTCCTTGTCCCTGACGGGGTGACACGACTCTCCAGTCTTCCTGTCACTCTCTCGATGCCAGCAGCACTCCGTATCGGGAAACCCGGCGGAATATCCAGCATGCAACATCGA